TGAACTTCCTATGGGGAAGAATTACAATCGATCCTTGCAGGCCACCGAGTTGGGTTGCCAAGTCGAATCCCTGGCGAACTTACATATATCCATTAATGGTTGCTAAGATCATTATCCACAAGAGGAAAACCAAAAGTTTCAGATCATCAGTAAAAGCCCAAAATTCGACTGCCGCAAGCTTCGAATTCGTCCGCGCGTTCGAGGTTTTCCGAGCAAAGAAATACTGGCAGTATCATTCAGATCTATGGTATATGATAAAGCAAGTAATCTATATACGTTTTCAATCTTCGGCGGACATTTTTACGGAAAACTCATATCGTGCTGATGTACGTCTGCTCTGTGCATGTCATCTCGACCGCATCGCTGATGTATATAATCAGATAATATATAATATATGAACAAGCTTTTACCGGGTTCGCACGACGATCCGGTATTACGGCAGAACGTGCTCCGAGGTAAGCTTACCCAGGACAGCTGTCATTTTATTCAAGCTCGTGAGCTACATCTTCATTCATGAAACACTTATACAAATAAAATGCGTATTTTAAATGAACAGTAAAGTCAAGATATATCACAGGAAGTTAACATGTGGGTTAAACGTATCATCGCGGCGTACTGATTTCAACCGGCGGACTAATTAAAAAAAAAATTACTGGAACTCAATTAATGATCAAACTCGAGATATTATTTTTTTGTTTTACACGGTTTACAAGGCCACGTTCCCACGTACGCGGACGGACATTATACGTATGTAGAATATGTCATAACTACATTTGTTTAATAAGTGAAAATCTCTGTTTAATGTCATCAAACATTACTCGCATATGTACTACTTCTATATTTTGAGCGTATAAAAAATCGAATAAGGTAGCAGACCAGTATCATTACTCAGGTGACAATTCTCAATTGTGCCTTGCTAAAGTAACTATAGACTGCCTAAACATGGTAAGTTCTTGTAAGTCAAATCAAGCATGATCGAAAATAATTATTAAAAATAGATCGTGATGACTCCTATCTAGCATCTCCGTTTCGGCACCGGTATTTACCTACTGTTGCTCGCTGCTGATCGTGATAACGAGCCTTTTTTTTTTCGAGTTGATACCGAATTGTACATTATACTGCAGGGCTGACAGAACGGAGCTGATACAATGTTCTCGTATCTACGTCGCCTTTATTGACAGTGGACCGCTTTCAGATGGCAGATCTGATGCGAGCGTAAAGACGTACGTATATAGTACCTGCTGCCATACAGGAATTACACATGTCGATCACTTACAGGTAACAGGATCGTGCTGCCAAGAAGTGAGCCCGGAAAACATTCTATTGATGATATACTTGTTGTATAGTTCCGCAATTTGTATGTGTCCCACAAATCTAAGTCCACTAGGTCTTTGTCAAATAAATAGTACACATATATACACATCATAAAAACTGCGGAACCCGAAATGTTCGGAGGTTTGCTTGTCGAAATCACCGCGTACCTATTTGTTTATTTGATCAAAGAGACAGCCAACGTTGACTGTCCAACCAATTACTTAGTCATAGCTTAATTAATTAATGGTGAACCAAATTAACTAACCATCTAGCGCATTTGTTATGCTTCGTCCATCCGGCTGACATCGCTAACACGGCGTTTAGGCGCGTCCTGTCCTTTCTTCTGGGATCCTGGCCCCCTAACGAACATTGTCCTACTGATCCGCATACTGATAATTTCATTTAACGATGGCGCGCTGCTTCATCAAGGCGCCCTTCCCAACAGTGTTCCTACTCACGATAAGCTTTGCCCCTACAGAAGATCTTTCGCAATCTACAGTCATTCGTGTTCTATACGAATTCTGAAAAATCTACACATTTACATTTGACAGCTACAGACGAAACAAAACGAGTATCTTCAAAATTAAAACTATAGATTTTTGCTCACGGACGAACTGTTACGTTGGGAATTTACCTATAACATAACCCCTATTGCAAATTCTAATATCAATCAACAGAATCGTATTGTGTAAATTCAAACGTCCCTTCACAAGTGCGTCTATGAGACATAGTTCCATATTGATTCAGTATCTCTGCAGACTAGCAAGGAACAGCGAACAACAGAGAAGGAAATGTACTACCTACCCGCAACTATCCTCGACTCACCGGATTTTACTTAAAATTCTCACTTTTCGAAATCGGCTTGATGGGCTACTCTGACCGGAATGGAATTTTTCGAAATAGGCGTATGCTTCCTTCTGACACTCTCATGTACCTTTTCTTACAGATTCTGTCACCATGTGCGCGGTAGCGGTCAGATGAGCCTTTACGGCTGTCCGAAACTGTCTCATTTTGAATCTAACTTATTAACAGATTGATAGCACCCGAAAAGTGATATCTAGATAGAAGTTTTATTGTTATTGTTATAAAGCCTTTCAGTGCCAATATCTGCAAAGATACAATAGTGCTTTGATTCCGTCCTTAATTTCGACCTCGAATCAATTCGAAATTGGAGGTTACCTATTTATATACATATATATACACTTTTAAATAGCTAATATAACCGACCGTCGTTGTGAGACACATCTGTTAGCAAAAGTCCCGCATCAGCTTGTACCAAACAACAAAACCGGATCAATCAATTGAATTTTTAGGTTTGCCAGTCTGCACCCGTAAAAATATTACAAGCTAGAGTGTTAGTTTATGGTATAGCTAGTCATAGCTATAGTATAAAAATAGTACAGCTAGGGTTTTTTTTTGTTTGTTATCGTTACTGGATCGTTAGTTTTCGTATAAAAACCTCTTCAATTGAACAAAACTCAATTTCATTCCATCTTTCCCGTATCCACCAGTATATCGTCCATCTACGATAAAAACATTCGAGAAGTTGTTTATGTATTTTACTGGTTCACTACATATTTCTAGTAACTTTGTTTTAACGCGGTCGAGCAGAACTCACGAACGAATAAAAAAGCTTTTTGCATTTTTTCTTACATACATTGTACTTTATTTATTTATAGTTATTGGCGATCCTTAACCGCCTCGTCGGGCTGCAAATGGGAAGGTCCTCAGGTTCTCCAAACTCTCCAACACTTAGCCGTATCTTTTTTGATAAATTTTCCACCGACAGCAGCAACCCATCTCCTTTCATGCTACTCGCGCCTTTTCCCCTTTCATTTTGTCGTATCTGCTGAAATCATTATCTTCGCCTTCCATATACCTCAGTTGCCTAAACGTGTCTGTCTGTATTTCTTAATTAGGAACACCAAAACAATTGCACACTCACAACTTAAAATTCTACCATAGTCCGGATAACCGACTAGGAGACCCGATATGTTACCAGCGGCCAATTTGCTGTCCGCCTTTCTGCCAGAGCGATTTCCGCTTCGTTGTGGCTGATGGTCTGGTATGGTTCATTGTGGCAAAGATCGGCACAAATCTGTTAATTACGCCTGCTATATGTCGCGCCACAAACGAGTTCCCCCTTGCCAATAGTTACCCATATATGCCCTGGGGCATCATTCCCCTAGTTAACAATGCCGTGTCAGCCTGTCCCTCGTTCGAATCGTTTGGGACTAGGTTAACTACTGAAAACTTCAGCTGTTTAAGTTCTCGATTTCCGCATGCGAGAAACGTACTAGTATTCATATTATTACATGGTAGATAATAGTGGCCGAACAACTGGATGCGACTTTTTTCTGTATATAGTGTAGTTCAGGTTCATCTTCACACTTCTACGTAGGTTTCCCCTTTTACCTTAGTCTGCTTTCTTCCTATCGTTCTCATATATCTTCATTATTATCAATAGTAATATTATTATTTATTTTTTTAATAATATTAGTTTTTAATTTCCTATTATACAAATATACAGCCATTGGCTGTATCTGCAGAAAGGAACCAATGGTCGATATATTTCTTCCTTCTGCATATTTCGTCCTTTTCGGCATCATAGCACATGCCACGTACTTATTGGATAGACCCTATACCCTCATCATAATCACTGAATAATAATAAGTTATAACCTCCTCTGTTCATCCCATTAACGTTCGTCCTAAGTTAACAGTTGATTCCTGCCCAATAATTTTCTGATCTCCAGGGTCATTGTTTTTCGGCTGATTCTGCTCATGGGTTACCGTTTTTTTGGCGGTATCATGGTGCCGGTAGGGCATACGCTTGTGTCACTGAATGTATATAGTCTGTTAAAATGATCGTAATGTGATCCGATAGTGGCCAAAAGTGTAGGCAAAGCTAGAGGCCATGTAAGAATACAGTGGTAGAGATGGTAATAATAGAACACGCAGTAGTAGCTGCCAATGCATTCTCCCGTTCATGTTGAAGGGCCTCGTAAACGGTCGAGATCGGTGAAGGTTGTTGTTCCGTATGTTGCATATAATCAATTAGCTGCGCAACGCTTCGAGTGCCGCCTGTGTTTTGTATTTTGTTCTGGTCAAAAGCTGGTGCATGTATAGTGGCTAGCAAGTTTGACGTAAACAAAAAACAATTCTATATAACGCGTTCGTACAGCACGAACGGTTCGTCTAACAGCTGCTAGTGCGAACGCAACATTTGCAGCGTACTCAGTCCGAGTACAAATTGGCTTCCCACCCATCTTTCCCGCGTAATATTAAAGACTAGAAGGATTTCTTTTTTGCCTTGTGTTTGCTTGTATTGATCGCCGCTTTTGTTTGCGGTATCATTCTCTTATTCGGTGCTAAGTCAACACAACGGCAGGAGCTTTTGTCGTGTCGGTGGATTTCAACGGTGTTCACCAGTCAACTTACCAACTATGGACATCGATTGATTCTTCAGCGAATCGACCAGTCGATCTGCGTCATCACAGTACCGGGCCCAGCCGCCTACCCACATGGCAACTTCTTGATGTTTTCAAGATCTACTCCTCTAGAACAAAACTCTGCTTCTTGGGTAGTTGTCGTTTGCTTGTCACCACGGCTTCATTACTGTTTCATTTAGTCTCATCATAGTTGACTCGATGTCCTTACAGCTTCTTTCTCGTTATTGTTCGCTTATTTTTTTTTGTGGCGAATTCTAGCCTATCATCTCTGGTACTCGGGCAGCGGCTTGACAATGCCTTCCCGGTAAACCTTGAGGATGGCCTCGCAGACGAACTTGTATTGACTAGCGGTCTGTATGAGCATCGCACGTTGGTCTCGCATCGTACGTGTAATTTCGAGCGGATAGACGGGCTCGTTAGCTTCAATAAGGCACATCGCCGTCTCCATCAGGATCAGAACGCCAGTGCGACCTATGCCTGCGCTGCAGTGCACGATCGTTGGCTCGACCATCGCATCCCGAGCACTGCGCACCCTGGCAATGAACTCCAGGAAGTCCGTGGCGTCATCGGGTACTCCGTGGTCAGGCCAGGCGAGGTACTGCATGTGACTGATGTGCCTCTCCTCGTCACCGGTACCATCGTTACGCACCAACGAGAACTCGCGAAACGCAAAACTGCTCGTTTCCTGTTCGGCTACACAGGATACCTGCAACTGGCCGAACGACTGAGTCTCATAGAGGGACGGCCAATACTTGTAGCATTTGAGTCGGCCCTTCTCGACGAGCGTCGTAAGCATGACGACGAGTGTGCTTTGTTGCTCCCACACCATCTGCCAGAAGTCGATCGCCGTATTTTGTAGCGGACCCTGCGTCGCAATGTAACGGTTGACAATACCGGAGCTTGGCACTTTCATCTGTTACAATTCGACAAAGAAGGAGCACAACTAGTAATGATTATAGAATTCGTCATGAAAAACAAGCACAGCAAGAATACAGTTTACGTCTGTTGACACCTGCGCATACTATGTGCGCCAGTAACTATGCTACCGTATCTTCAACAGTAGGTATCTAAATTGAATGTTTTTTTTTTTTACTTACAATTACATAGCTGGCATTGATGTAATCGTTGGTATTGCCCGCATCTGTTGTCAGTATTACCCGAGTTTTGTCATCTGAAAACAATCGAGTTAAGCGAACTAAGTTGAAGCGTATATGCTCACGGAATTTGATAAAAAAAGGCTTGACAGAAGTTGATAGACAGGTATCGACATGTTACAACAATCTCGTTTCACATCCCCTTCTTGGTCAACGTTCTATTGTAAGTCTGCGTTGCGGTTTCTCCAAAAGTACCAATAGCTCAATCCATTGCGGTATATATATATATATATGTATAATCATTTTATGCGTTTTCACTAATATTTTAGATATCACACTGTAACAGGGCTAATATTATAATATAGGCTGACTATAGTAAGCCTTATTGTACGATGCAACGATTACCCACAAGGCGAAATGTCCTTATAGCGATTGCGGAGAGCGTTGGCAGCGAGCTTGCTTACATCACACGACATGCCCTGTTTCTTTCGATAAAGCTGGTCAAACTGGGCGACGAGTGCCCCACTATGCAGTCCCTCCTTTAGCAATAACATCGACTCTCGTAGAGGGACACTCGCCGTTCCGGCCACTCTTGGTGACTCCAGATCATCCGACGATAACGGAATGTACTGGAAATCCGGCTCAGATTCGGGATCTGTATCGGTCCCACCTCGTCGAAGCACGAAGGCTTGTGGTCGAACAGTTAGCACAAGCTCTCCTTGCACCTGTGTGGCCTGTTGCTGCTGCTGCGAGGTGTGGGAGACAGGACCCGGAGCCTGTGCTGGTTGAGGTCGCCGCTTATCTTTTTTACGGTGAGGTCTCTCGGCGCTACCGCCCATATGAGCGCTATCCGCAATCCCAGACTCGCCGCTCTGCACTGCTGAAGTCGTTTGAGTGGCGCTTCCCACTAAAGGCGACACACTGCCCCCCTGTGATGTGCAACCGACATCGTCTAGCCACGATGCCCGAATCAGCTTCACCACCTGTTCATGTGTTAAGCCACGAACCTCGCAGCCATTGATTGCAACGACTTCGTCGCCTTCACGCAACCTTGGGGCGGCTTGGTCCGCTGGGGTGTTAGGCGCCACGCGGGAAACCACAATGGCTGAGTTGTTCTGGTCAAGACCACCCTTAACATTGAAGCCGAATCTGAAATGGTAGATGAAGATCATTGTTCTCGCAGGCTACATGCATTATAACAAACATAACGTGGGGTTGGACGTGACAGAGATCACATGTGTGTAAATACAAGAAGTTCTAGAATTGATAACGCAGTTTTTTTTTTGTAATTACGAAACCAACTAATATTAATGGTATTAAATTTCATAAACCGGTAAACTACGCTTGTCATGTACTGACTAACTCTTCGTGCAGCCAATGTGTTTGTAATAGCAGCAATTCAATACAAACATACCTCCCCTGTCCATCTGCCTTAAGCACAATCCTGACGAGTGAGGCTACCCCAATTGAATCGCTACTGGGCGAGCTGAGATACGAAATCGTCGAGCCCGGAGAGTGCAAATCTTTCGCCTCTTTTAACGTTGCTCCTGTAGGCCGCTGTTGACCATTATTACTTGTGCTATGGTTGTTGTTGTCATGACTACTATTATTGTTCTTACCCTTTTTATTACTTATATTGATATTCGCGTTATTGTTGTGACCCATATGGCTGAGATGCGTGCTTTTCCCCAATTGCAAATTACTAGCCGCACTTTTGTTGCAGCTCGTGAAGTTGTTGTTGTTGTTGTTGTTGCCGCTGCTGCTGCTGCTGCTGCTGCTGTTGTTGTTGTTATTGTTGCTATTGTTGTTGAGCGAATCGCTGCCTGCACTTTTATCCAACTGCGCTGTGCCAACCCCTCCAAGACAGCTGACGGCTGACGCGTCCACCGACCCATAACTACCCTGCAAAACGATAGTATCAAAAAAAAAAGAAACTGGGGTATTTTTATCATCTTTTTCAGCTCTTTTTTAAGCTCTCCGTTTAATCGTATTTTTCAGCTCGACTAAATTATCTTTCTTATTTCTTTGCGATGACGGACATCATGATATAACTACGGCATGAGATATTACTATCTGAATATCGTTGACGATCGTTTTGTTATTAGATTTGTGATCTGTGGCTTGATGACGCTCACAAATAGGCAAACTTTAAGTCTGTATATCAATCAAGCGTTTTAAATAACGATGGAGATGTAATTTTTTTTATCGGTAGAAAGCCGCCTTTATAAGTAGACGTTAAACGAAAAATCAAAAAGCTCATACATGCATAGATTTGTCATTATCATAATACATGTCGCTCGTCAATCATTAAACACGATGATTCAGAGCATGTGAGGCGAATGGCCCGTAAAACGTCCAAAGCGTCCCTTAAACGTTTGATCCTTCCAACTTATTCCAACTAGCAAATGCGTCATTGTCAAAACACGTCGACAAGCCAAGCATCTGTTATGATAAATGCAATCAGTGCCAAGTCATAGAAACTGAGTTGTTGAAACTCCTCTACATCTACAGCTGTGTCCGTTACGGAAAAGTCAACTGTTGAAATCTATTGGTAGCTTTCCTACAGTTTTTTCGTCGTTTATAATCGATTTCATCAATTGTTTTTTATTCGTTATTATTCTAATGAGTTATTTCAATAGCTAGATGATGATCGTCAATGCAGTGGTCCCGTATCACTGTTCAACCTGAAAGTTTTACCTATCTAGTCAATTATTTATGATATTGTATTTCGTTACCTGTTGCTGTAAATGTAGATGAGTGTCTGTGGTGACAGCGCTCGATACGTGAGGTTCGTCGATGGCGGAATTGCCTGAAGTCGCCTGAGTAGCCACTTGGTTGCCGGCTAATATGGCCTCATCGCCGTCGGCGTAGTCATCCTCGTCGGCATAGCGCAGGCCGCGGATGGGCTCGCCCCGCACAGCCTGCGGCGCAAAACCCGCCACTGCTGCTAAGTTGGTGCTACGTAAGATGCTCTCCAATAGACCACCGGAGCTCTCATCCGCTTGCACGTTGTTGTTGTTGTTGTTGTTGTTGTTGTTGTTGCTGCTGCTGCTGCTGCTGCTGTTACTGCTGCTGTTGTTGTTGTTGTTACTGCTATAGGAAAAACAAATCGCAGTGACGATACAGTTAACATCGCGATCGGGGAAGTCGGCCATTTTTAAATCTACCCTTGTTTTACATCGATGGCAGCCATTGCCGGCAGTGGCGGCAGCAGCAGCAGCAGCAGCACCGAAGTTAACTGCGACTTTGCGAGGAGTCCGTTTCAAAAATGGACTTTTAATAATGAGTGCGGATACTTGATTCAAATAGCTGCAACCTTTTCTATTATCACAACATCAACCATAACTGCTTAGTTCATCAACCGATTTACTAGACACCTCTTAGTCCACTCGACACGGCACCGTCGTACGAAAAGTCTTGATAACACAACGCACTATGATTTGTTCCAGTTATCAGCTCTATGCCAACAATGCGATAGAAGCTCAAGTTTGTCTCGAATCGGCTGTCCGCGATTGTTCAGCTTCTTGAATACTCAAGCAACATAAGTATCCACGTCATTTATTACCTCGAAAAAGCTACCGTCACCACTTTCGCTGGTTCTAAAGCTGGCTTTAAACTACCGTCTAACGCTCGCAGCTGTTGACGTACTTAATACAGCTGCTGTGACTCTCGGTGAGTACACGAGGGTCGGCCGCCCGCGTAACACTCTCCGCCTTCAAAATTGTACTTGTAGTAGCTTTGTTCGACATTCGACACGATGACCGCGGTCACCGGCGCTGATCCGTCATTAGTTGCATTAGCAACTCCGTTGTCTTTTGGACAATGAGGATTCTTGACCCGTTGGCGCCATCTTTTTTCTCGGCATGCGCTCGCCACAGTGGCCTTATCACTCGCTACGCCGCTAGCGGAGTCTACAATCATCACCATGGTGACGGGTCTATACTAGTCGGGCTAAAACTGAAGTTAACATTGAACGAAGGCACGAGCGAAAATAATAGAAGAACCGAAGGACCTCTTTTTTTTTTTACATATATAGTATAACGTACGAGTTAGCTGTTCCCCGTAACAAGCGAACCGCACCGATTTACGTCAGCTACCTTTGTCCGTGGTTCATAGCGAAACAGGGACGAGTCATAGATAATTAACGTTGTGAATCAATAGTACAGTCTACCCGAGTAGATGAAGCCTATTGTAGGAGGAAGATGGAGACGGCCTCAGGCACTTAGGTCAGTCACTGTGTAATAGTAATGAGGATAATACTGCTACTGATAACTGTGGCATATTGGACGCCTACGGTGCCATTAAAGTCTGGTAGTCAGCCGAATGGTCGTGATCGGTACTCTGTATGTTCACAATTGTGTCAGCATGTGCTATAGCCCTATGGAAATAAATTCGTTCTGTCATCAGCTGCTGCTGCTGCTGCTGCCGCCGCTGTCGTCGGGTCGTATGTACCTCGGCACAGAAATGGCTGGATTGTCGGAGTGAGTCGCTGGCTACTCATAGGCTAATTGTGACTCATCATCGATGGACATCATTCGTTGTCTTTGGTGGTCACGGCGCCGTTCGTCGTCGAAAACCAGGCATAACATATGCCACGGCGGATAATGAAAAGTACCGTGCCCCGGTCAACCAAGCATCGCACCTGGTTTCGCCACCGGCATAGGTAAGACACAGTCACAACTGTATGATAAACATATTTCGTGAGAGTCATAAGTCAATAGTAACTGAAGTGTAGCCGACCATGACCAAGTTCAAATCAGGCCCAACTTCAACCTCAAATGCTTCAGGTACCACCCTACTGTTCGAAACACCCTACTAACTCAAAGTGCAGTCTCAGTATCACAAATAGGACGAACTGTCTCAAACTAAATTCAGCTTCTTCTTCTTCCTAAAAAATTGCGGATCGGAATAAAAACAAGGAGGTGTATAACAAGCGGACAGCAAGGTATGATATACCCAAGTTGAATTAGTATTACTCAAATTTTATTATATTCCTTCCGCAGACAAATACCGATCGGTGTCGGTGGAGGGCCTGCCGAATCGTATCGTTGTAGGGGCCATCAGTTTCATTGGGTGTTATTATAGCCCCGACGGCCATCAGGAAACTAATCATTCTAACGGTATTACCGCTCCGTCTACGGGCTTGTAAATGGGAAGTCCGACAGATGCCCATCTGTCGCGCTGATCTGTCACAATCATTGTCAACCTGACGACTTCGTCGTGCTTCATGACTTTGATACAATAACGATAAAACATATATCCACTATCGCCTTAGAAAAACTGCTGCTTGAACTGCACTAAACTTAGCGATACGTCACTGAATGCACAAATGAATAGCTGTTCATTATCGTCACAGTCATCGATCTAGGGGTAGCACTGTATAAAAGGCGCGACAAGTGCATGGCAGTTGCACATCTATATATACATATAGATTTTTTTTTATTTGTAATTGCACAGTTGTAGGTGAGCAAATGAATAAAAACGCGGGGACGATTGGTCCAAAACAGGATCCGCCGATATGACCGATACTTGCAATGAAGTTCAGGAAGCCCCCTAATCTATGAACGAATCGTATCTTTTACGGCCCGCACAAAACTAGTTCACGCGTTTACTGATTACTTGATATTATTGCTGGTACTGGCCCGTTGCCCTTGCCGTAAGGATCGGGCTCCTTTTCCCTCTTCTTTCCTCCCAATCCACGCGAGACTCGTGATTAAATCGCCAATATCAAAGTAATACAGTCATCATAGATCGCCGAATTGCTGCGTCATACTCTGGGCTTGGTTACGCGCGATAAGAGTCGCGTAAGGGTAAGTGCAGGCCGCTTCGGTAACGATGCCGCAAAGAAGAATGAGCCTAAATAAATGGATCCAGTTCGAGAGATAGAAATAACAGTCAATTTTAAAGCGGAATGACCTTGCAATCAGAAATCTGTCAGTTATTTCCATGCCAATTAGAGAATATTTAGTTTTAAGGGCTCCATCCTATGCTCGCATTCGGAGGGATCGAACGGTGGGTTGTCGCTGGGAAATTAGACGCATCGTTAAGCTTGTGCCCTGGGTGCCGACTATTGCAAGTTCAGCTGAGTGCTTCTGTACGTATTAGATGTGTGTATATGTAAATCAACAGAGAACCGCACTTCATCGCCTCGACTCATCGTGTTTGCCGACTGCTCTCTTGAGAAGCGATTACTCGATGAATCATCGATGACGGGGTCATACCGCAAGAACTATAGAAGTCTAATGCGTCTAGTTAGCACCGACGGGCTATGATTGAAACTTTAAAGGTCTGCTTTTATTTGCTTATAGTCTTTCGGCGAGAAAGACCGACTAACGCTGCTGGCACCATTGCATAGTGGTTCAGTGTCGCTAAGGGTAGGCAGAGCGTAGAGAGAGACCCACGCCGTTGCAGGGAGCGAGATGTTATTTTACCTAGAATTGATGATTTCTGACTAATCGTGTATTAAACAAATACTCGTTGGCAGATGCTACATCTATGGGGCCTGTCCGATTATGGAGTCCATTTTTGTATGGGCTATTGGTAGACGGTATTAAGCTGTGATTACTATAAGGCGACCTAAGGGAGATCTGAGCCATGCGGCTGTTTCTAGGTGCCGATAGAGCACTTGGTCCGCCGCTAATTACCGAAGTTGATATTCGATAATTAAACTATCCGATAATGAAGAAAGGATTCGACGAGACGAATTCGTTTGGAAGTTGATAACAGTTTGATACAGCGTAAATCCAGTAGTGGAGCATGAACTATGAAGAATGCTGACCATTTCGTACATCTGACTGTTTCTGTAATTGTAGGGGTAGTCGTTCGACATAGGTGACGCTCGAGTTATGGAAAGCTGTTCAATTCCTACTGGTAATCTAAGAGGTCAAAATAAACTGTAGTAGATAGATGGTGAATTAGCGTCGCACCATAGTTCCAGCAATGCCAGACAAATCGCCCAGATGATATTACGCCGAAGGAGATGAAATGGCCAGCGTGTCCTTTTAAATATCCAGAGAATCCGAAACACTTACGGGAAGTTCCAAGCAATACGGTCAACTAGGGGAACATTTATTATATAGCTCGAATTGTTCATGTCACTTAATGATCCTCTTAGCTATTTGGGTTCTATAAAATGACAGGCGATAAACAGGCCATAATTATATAGGCTAACGTATACACTCGAGGAGATCTATTAGGGCCGAGGTCGGATAGTTGCTACTGCAAATTACTAATTTCATTGTTATTAACTTTTTTTTTTCTAAGTTGTTCGAATGCAAGGAAGCGATCTGCATTTCTACTCGTTTAAAGAAGATGCTTCGTTGGTTTAATTAGACAGATCCGTATCGATGTCAAATGTAGTTTACCATTAGCTTTTCCAAATTGAAAATGAGTATGTTGATTGAGACCCCTACAATCAATAGGACCACTAATAATGGTCCTAGACTTCGGAGCATACACAGGAGGCATATATGTAAGACTTGATCCACAAGCGCATTTTTCAAGCTAGCTTAAATTCTGACCCACGTCCAGAACCCGCATTCTATAAGAGAAACTATTCTCGAAGACCAACAGCCGAATTTACTTAAACTGTAGAAGTTATTAAAATTCTAACTTACACTAACCGCAGTTGTAGTTTAAACGCTACATCGAATATGCCAAATCATTTTCATTGCGGATTCCGAACTAATCTATAGTGTTTTCTCATATCATTTATCTAATAACTCTTTATGGCTGTCGATAACGGTGTTAGATGAATTATCTTCTTAGCCGTACTAGAAACCGTGACGGTTAGGATGAATAAATCTTCGAATGACTCTGATGGCGTTAATTAAAAAAAAAAGACAACTAAGAAGATTGTACTCGCCTAGCTGTTTGGCACTTGTTGACCTGTTGACCATTGTTGCTATTACTACCATTGTTACTGCTGACGACAAGGCTTGGCTGCGGAAGCTGCTGCTGTCGGTTGGCGGTGTCAAGAGGGCCCGCCTGTGCATCAATCCACGCTTTACGTGGCGTCAGCGTCCGGCGGGGGTCGTCTTGGACCTGCGAAGGCCGCGGATGACTCTGGTGACCCTGGCCATAGCTGACGAGGCCGTGTGGCCCCTGCGCTCCGGCACCGACCCCGCAAGGGGGTGTTTGGACATGAACTCCCGTGGTACACATATAGGCCCCTCTCCCTAAAAGGAAAATGTAAAAAAAATCACACAAAGAAAATTCGAAGAAATAAAGCACCTGTTTACGCCAGAACGTTGCGTTTTAGGTTAGCTTCGAACAAATAAGTGACAGTTATAACGCTAAATGAATTATGGGTCGATTTGAAGCGGCCTATGTTTTGCCAGTTCTAAATTTTCTTGCATTTAGGTTATCTGTAATAGCATAAGGACTTGCCCTTCACAGGTGGCTGTTGTTGTAGTTGTTGTGGTGAGTGTTGCGGTTGTGAGTGCAGATGAGTTACGTGTGTCGAAACTACAGCTGTCGTGACTGCTCCGGCAATTGGAACCTGTTGGAGAAGCTGGTTGGCAGCTGCATGATGAGTTGACTGTTGTTGTTGATTGGTCCTTGGATGAGTACTTTGTCTCGAAGGCGTCAGCGGTGTCCGATGATGAGTATGCGGTTGAGAATGACTCCTGACGTGCATCGTGACAGTGCCGCTGCCACCTGCCGTGACGAAAACATTCTGACTGTCGGTATTGTTGTTGTTGTTTACCGTGGTCGTCGTAGCCCCTCTGCGAGGACTCGTCTCCCGGTTCTTCGACCTGTCCGAGCCTTGTGGAGCCTGACTCCCAGCGTTCTGGGTAAGATGAGAGAGAGAATGCCTGTGAATCACCTGTGTTTGCGAGCCCTGTGAATTCGGATACGCCGGACTCAAGGCTGAGGCCAGAGACCTGACAGGGCCTCCACTGGTGGCGGTAGTGGTGGATATAACGACGTTCTTCGATGCAACGCCGGAGGGTAGGGAGTGACCGGGAACCGGGGTATGATGCTGATGAGGGGTCGTCGGGATGGTTGTATGTTGTTGCTGCGGTTGTTGATGATGTGAAGTGTTGTTGAGCTGGGGCGTGCTGCCGGCTGGGGCAGAGGGGCCTAGCATGTTTGGGGACCTGCTCGATGTTTGGTCTCCATAGCCGCGCGTCCACGATTCGGCGCCACCCATTGAATCTCTCTCTTCGGGGCAAGCGCCGCCTTCTAAGTTGTTCGCTAAATTGTCCATCTAACGAAAATTAAACAACAAACACTATGTATGATATAATTATTATTATATATATTAATTAGTATATATAAACTATAGAATGGTGTTATAAGATATTACGGATTAAAGCAGCAGCCAGGCGATGAATCTCGGACATGGCCTATTCGTCTGAGGGTAGTATCTATGGTAGTTCAAGAGAAAAGAACAGTAATGTTCTAAGTCTGCTTAGAAAAGATGTTTAAATGCAAGCATAGTTTTACCAAGCACGTTGCCACGACAACGATGCGACCCCACGGGATATATTTAACTTTTATTGTAATCAATTATCTTCTTATTTATGAAATCCTGAACGTTGAGCGATTACCGCAAACAATCTAGGAGCTGTACGAAGCACGAATCTGCCTAATTTGTCGAATAGTTACACTCCTACGAAATAAGAGCACTAAATATTGCCAGCAGTAGCAACGCTCACCATTTGCCGTTGTCTAAGTTCGGCCTCACGCATCGTTTCGAATGCACTCCGGCCAGAATAGCGGAACTTACTGCCGATGTGGAACAGACCAAGGCCGCCATTTAGCTGGAAAAGTCGACGTGACGGCGGAGGTCGGTGACTCGTTGACTGCAGTCGGAAGAAGGCATGGTGTTCAACACATGACTGCCATAGATTCTTGCACGACCGGTACGATTGCATGTTAAATCCTAACAGTGAATCGTACTCTTCGTCCTGTTAATATTAATACGATATGCACAATAAAGTAAAAAAGACGCAGAAAACATAATTGACAATTTTCATTTTAATATTTGGGCAGCGCCCTACAGAGGATAAAATTAGTTTCATTTAGGTTGGACGTCAACGCATCTCTCACTTTCAGGATTTTTGCTATACCACCGTAAGAATAACTCTGTAGGAGAGGGAAACAACGACCGTAATGCTTTAGAAACTTACCAATGGGTTAATTAAGCCTAATTAAAGACAGCAACGTCATATTATATAGTTTCATTAAACAGACATTTAATATGAAACACTTACGCCGTCTGGAAAAGACGTAACAGTAATTATAAGGTACATAGACAAAATATTGTTTTAATTTTCTTAACAAATATGACGCCAACTAAGTAACTTGATAAATGCTTATAAAATAACAGAACCAATGATAACTTATCAAATAAATCTATTTGGGCTCGACGCAACTTACCCCTTCTCTTCGAAGTTGAATAAAAAACTGTTTCTTCTTGAATGAAATTTTAATGATTTTAGCCCATGAAAACGTATTCATCTTAATATTATTCTGGAACACGACGAGACCCTGTGATGTCACACCAAGCTGAATATCGGCCTGTTTTGAGTCCTGAAATGCACCGATAGGGTATTTGACGAGCAGAGGTTAGACTTGCATTCATTCAATCTTAGAATTCGGGTAGTGTAATCGTGACGAAACGTTATGGTATCGCATCTTTGAAGCCAGTGTTATTGGCTAAAGTGATTACAGATTCAGCTGTTTGCAATCTGGACAACAATACCTAGTAGACAATTCTTTAATAGATTAAGGTAGATATCAGATCCTAGATGTAGGCTAACTGTAATATGAAAACAACTAAATGAAAAAATGAAAAGGGGCTGTTTTCAACGGAAAACTGGGTATAGTTCCCAACAGTTTTACCCACAATATAAATGACTCATTGTCTATTCCATTGTGCTCTCATATCTATTGCCCTAACTTTATGGCACTTTCACCTATCCCGAAATTTTCTTGTATTGTAAGCTATATTTTTCAACTCCTTTCTATTCAACTGACAGTGTTTCGAACGTTGTTTCCAGACAGTCTGCTTAAAGAATGTGTCCCAATATGTATACGTATGTAATACATAAAATAATTACGCACACAATACCAATGTCTTATCACAGCGTTTGAAATGTCCGCAATATAGATTTATTTGCACAACGTCAGTGCGGTAGCTGGGTGCCTTCTCGTTCGTTATAAGCGCAATGTTCTTATCTAGGAACCAGCCGTCGCAAAGGGATCGACCTAGTGAAGGCATCGAAACTTGTTCCATCTATCTTAGCCCGTATGCGGGCAGAACAACAGCACGTGGAACAAAATATACGCTATACAGAACCACGTTCGGCAAGAAGCGTACGGCTGCCGAACGACTACAACGAGCCTGAAAAATACTTGACGCGTATGTGTGTGTGCACGAGCTTAAGCGGCGCGTTAATTCCTCTCCGTCCTAAAATGGCTTTGGCCTGCCAGTTCCCCACAGCGACCCGTCGGAGCGCGCAGAACCCCCTGTCTGTGCGCTTACATTGAGATCCACGGTAAGTATCGTTACAGTGTAGAACAACTAGCTAAAGCACCACGGAGCACTTACTTACATTTGGGTGAAGCTGTGAGCCCAAGACAAAAATATGATAACGTAAAGCATCGATAAAAACGCGACGCAAAAGCAATGGCATAGTGGCGGTAGCAGTACACGAGCAAAATTGTTAGAATGATTCAAAAGAAAGTAGCAATGGGAATGCCAACGGAGCTGGGACAATGGCAATGTAGTGACTCTGTTCGCTGTCGTGCGCGAGCTCCCTGAAGAAGGGGAGACGATGGGAAGGAACAGGAGGTAACAACAACAAAGGGTTAAGTTCTCCGGGGTCTGCGGTGGAAGGTTTCAGCTCGCAGGGGGTTCAGGGTTAAGTCGAGCAGGAGAAAGATGTGCGCCAGCAGCGGATAGCGGATTATTTCAGCTTTTACATTAGCAGGACGCGCCTATCGCAACGGATTTCAAGTTTTTCTCTTGGGGTGAAATGGAAACGACTTTCTGCTCTGCCCCAATAGACACACATTTTCGGCAAGGCTTCTTTTCTCAACGACACACTTCGTCTGCCTCTAACGCTGCCAGTGCCCCAACTTGTCCTAACGATAAATATCGAAGATCCACAGTATGACAGCTATTTCAGCTCGCCGATTTGGTCGCTCGTCGTTTAGCGGTCTTTAGCGGAACGAACTATAAAATTTTCGTTCGAATGACAGCGTTGTTAGCTGAACAGTAATGCAATGACTAATGGTTAGTGAAGTTTTGGTAGAGATCTTCCACGCCAATTAGATGGCGTAACCCTATGAGCCATCGGGTTGAGGTTGTATGCCAAGCAACTATCTCTAACTTAATATTCCGTTCCGGACATACAGTATCGAAACCAAACATCGCCCAGGCTAAAGCTCTGGCTAGATGTCTAGTGTCGAAAATCAAGTGCTATATTGAGGTAGAGAAAGCATGAAACAGTGCTGACAAGCAAAACATTATGCGAAAAAAAGAACGATCTTCACGTTCATACTTGTCTTCGGGAAGTGAGCCTAGGTGCGGCATTCGCAATGCTCTCAAATAGAGATTGAGCAGGTGAGGACTTCAACAGCCTTTGCTGAAGGAAGAGACCAGACGAACAAACGGGCAGCAATTAATTCCGTGAGGAAGATCTGTAAAGAGTGATAGCCTAAACAAAAGCTAGCGACCGATATCAAATCGCTGATAGGACGAAGCAAACGGCTGAAGGCCCGAGGGAACCAAGCAACAAACGATAGAAATGCACATTCTAATAGGCTGGGCAATCCATAGAAGATAAGCACGAATACTATAAGATATTTAATAAAACTGACATAATAATTCAACGGACAAGCTGGTCTATTAGCGATTTAAATGCAAATGTCCACTTGCAACAGATACACAATTGCTCAACAGCGGCAAAGTAATAACAAACGATATATTACTAAGACGAATATCGCAACGAAACCCAAACTAAATAGGCAAGCAATAGACAAATGACGTAAGCTATAATAGCAGCTATGTAAACTACGGGGCAATCACCTGTGAAGCATAGGACTGCATGCATTGACTTACTTCTCTCTCTGTCTCTCAGAGATACTCTCTGAGAGAGACTACTGACAAACAAAACACGAATAGACAATTGCAAATAATAACAAAGAAATAAGCAAATTTTCTAACGAAAACTAACTAACTAACCATGCAAAGTGGGTTGATGAGATCGCTCGAGAGTCCATTGCCAATCAGCTCAATGGCAGGTGCACTCTCTCCGGCCACTCCTACTCCAGGAAATCCATCGTGATGCTGCTGCTGCTGAGAGCTGCTACAGTTATCCTTATTATTCCCTATTAAGATCATGCCACCGTGCGCATTGTCCCCAGCAGCCGACTGTGGGTTATGTTTACTAACGATAAACTCGTCTGACGCGTTGGTAGACGCTCCATACGCGCCTATGCTATTAGCGCGGGTTGCGGTCGCCAGCTGAGCGACCATTCGCGGCAATCGTCGAATGCTTTTACGAATCGACTGGCCAGCTGAGAGCACCGCTCCTCGCGAAAGACCGTGCCGCCTCAATCCGAGATAGGGCGGATGAAGCTGACCTTTTGGCGACTGATTCTGATCGTGCTGGTGCTCTTGGCCAACGCCATGCGTCACATGATCACTATTGCTATGACTGCCACTGTTCAATTGTACGAGATTAGTGACACAACTGTTGGACACCTGTTTAATTCCTATTGCTGCTGCTGCTGCTGCTGTTTTTTGTGTCTGATGTGAGTCGTTAGCATTGATATGATTATTGTTGAGTTTGCCATTTGGAGCAGACGACAAGGCTGCAGCAGGTGAGGGATGCGACGAGGAGTGTCGCAGATAGCAGGTGAGGTGTTGGGCTGACCCGGAGGAATGAGACAGTTGGACATTGCATGAGGAGGGGGTAACGAGCACGATACCTGCTGGGTGGGAACAAGGAGGTGATTCATGATTATTGTTATTGGACTGAGGTGGAGAAGCTGCAGAGGCATTACAGCAGATGGATTGTTTCGTTTGGTGTTGTCCGGGAGAAGTCGTTGCGTTGGGATGTAGTTGCTGTTGCGTTTTGCCGAGATGCTTTCGGAGAAGCAAGGGGCTTACCCGAGCACGATGCAGGTCCACGCCATACATGTCAAGCCTTTTCGCGTGCGCCAGAAAATTGTACTCCGCCTCAGAGGGGTATTGACCCCTTTCAGTGTAGAGAAGAATGATATCGAGGACGCCGAGAGGAGAAGAGGACAATGGAACATTTACGTTAGTGATTCAGCTATAGATGACTGTCAACAACGAGTATCATTCTACTACGAGAAAACGCAATGCATTCTGCAAAAACGCAGTCTATACACGTAACAACCATTAGGATTCACAAAAAACTGAAAAAAAACTCCTCTAATTGTTCTTTATTAGTTGAGGCTGCAGTTATCGGTATAATATAGTAACGAGTGAATATTGAACAGCAAAGAAAACACCATAACTTCCAAGATCTGGTGGGCAATTAGAAAAGACGAACTTACCGGTGCATTCGATGTAGTTCAGCGATTTTGGCTTCAAGTTCTTCAGTCTGATTCGGAACAAGACGCATATCTGCCAGGTAGCCGTGCAAGTGTTCATCTGGGTTATAATCACCCAGATCCGCTGAAATTGGTTTGTCAACAGAAAAATTAACAGGGTTTTATTATGAAACGCGCGCCTGCGTCGACTGACCATGCGTTCCATGACAAGCAATATAGTAAAATACTATTCAAGTTACTACAATTGGTCATAGATGAACAGAGGCTTATTGTCAAAAAGCTCAAATTTTGGAGATTGATTATAAGATAACGTTTCTAAGACGGAGCTTTCCCTATTGCTGTTCAACAGTTCACGCAGAGCAAACTCGTCAATAACGATACAGAACGTGCAGGGCTTGGACGCTGTTTCTTGACCAGAGCACCCGTTATGTTCTCACGTTTCTGTATTCCCAATCTTCGGATCAAAAACTTACTTTTACGTTATTTTACCATCTTACAAAACCGACAAGGCGATAAATTGAAATTTCTTTTGTTTTGGAGTTCATGGCAGAAACCGCCAAAATTATACACCAATCATAGGAGCGTATAGTATTAATCCATTGCGTTTACCTAAACAAGCAACAAAATATATATATATATATATATATATATATATATATATATATATATATAGTTAATGTACAAATGCAGTGAGGGTAATAATTTTCTCAGATTTACCAGCCAGGCCACAATAATCGTCTAGCTAATTATTGTTACAGCTCGACTGAGTCTTTCGTCCGTGAACCTTGGCTCAGTGTTGAAAAGAACCTTGCAACTAATATTAACGATTTCAAAATTGATGTCCGTTAGCGGAGAGTGAAATCTGCGGTTGTGTCATCCGTCAACCAGCCTGAAATAGGCCAAACTAGATTCGAAGGCTCAACGGTGCATAAATGGAACCTCCCATACAACCCCTTAATTCTCGTTATGTATGCTGGCCTTGGCAAACCCATCGCGCACTGCTCCGCGTGCTTGACGGTCGCTGATTCAGCTTATAGGAACGACAGAACGCTTCACGGATCATTTTGTAAAACATGCCGCTCCTTCATCTGTGACAGTGCTAACTTCATTGAAGCTATGGAATGACAATGGTGGCATATATATCGCGGTCCACCGACATGTGAACCTCGTTCAAAATTAACAGGGGATTTGCAGTGCTAAGTAAGGACTAATATTCTAGATGCAGTGTCGTAACTTAGCAGAACTGGTGTAGTTATCAATAGCTAATAGGAAATACTTAAAATTTACCAAAAACAAGATAAAAAAAAGTGCACGTACTAGTCGATCTGTTTGCTGTTATAGGCTGATTAGCCAGCGTTCACAGCATTGCTTCGAACAATAGAGAGGACTTGAAAACGTGTTTTACGCGTTTGATTGATTCGATTTACAGACATTGTACAGTATGTACCGCAGCTATATTCTTTGAAAAAAAAAGCCAAGAGACAATTTGGTAATAATAATAACAGGTTATTTTTCAACGGCGTGAATACGCGTGCGTTCAGTCTATTATTTGCTTAATATAATCTCCGGCTTTCGTTTATATCTCTCGTCAACGACCGTGACCAGATTAATAATCATCAAGTTTTCTTTCCGTTCTCGCTGACATTCACTGTTGCCCGCCTCGTTCGTTCATTTGGTCTTTCGTTCAAAACACGTGCTGCTCTTTCTGTTATAGAAGTAAACTTGCTTCAAAAGATTATTGGTACTTAGAGGCTGTCAAATGGCCTCGCTTGCTAGCCGCTCTCCTCACCTAATCATGTTGACAGATTGCTCGCTATCGAAGACAGACGTTAAGGTACACACGCTATACGTTAACAGGTTTCGGCAACATATCGTTATAGCGTTCTTGATGGATCACACTACTTCATCATGCTCTCTGCATACGATGATTTGAAGCTTTACATCGCTTCATTGAAAGCAAACGACCTAACAGCATATACAAAGTTATTCACTAACTTGGTGAACGTGTCCCCATTTCTTTGTCCAGCTAATTCTCTATTCCCATCTGTGAGTGGCGTACGCCAGAGTTTTTGCTGTGACGTGTGTCTATTCCGAGGTTCCGATAGTTTGGCGTATATTCGTCCTTGTCACTATTCTATTGTGGCGGACGGCCTGTATTCATTATTTGACGGCCAGGGGCATCGTGATAAAGGTTGGTAACGACTAGACAGCTAGAGGCGGGTGTTTTGGGGGCAAAAGAGAGGTTGAGGAAGCCTAGCGATCAAGTGTGGCAAGCTGGCCACCAGCCCCATTGATGTGTGCAACTCGACTCGACTAAACTGACCCTTCAGTGATGGCGGTCATTGTTAGCGGCATTACGGCAATAAGTCATGCAGAATGAACGATTAGTGGGTGGGCAACTGGAGTACTGTTGGGCCGTCTCCGAACAGCTGCCGTTAGTATGGCAGGCGGCATGAGAGACAGGTCTCACTGCATTCATTTCACCCACATGGCTGGGCGTTTGTAAGTCCTGGAGGTAACTAGAGCACAGGAGGGGTGAAGGGTAAGGTGTTGTTGTCTTTGTTTAACAAATATTCTAAGCACAACTTATGGAAGTTTAACATGAGACTTTATCATTATTACAAAACAGACATGCGATGATAACGGGTTAATCATAGACAGTTGATAAAAGGCTACGGAAAACTGGAAATATTTCTAGATATACTATAGTTAAATGCTAGATATGTATAGTCAAAGGCTGTGCTCTTCCAACACGAATGAATTGACATAGGGCGTGTGACTTTTTGCAGATTTGCGTCTTTTGGCAAACTATGTCATTTATTTAACAGTTAGTGCTCGCGTGTAGGAGCATATTTATCTAAAGTGGTAGCGAATAACCTCAAGTTGCCAAGACACATACCCACAACCACAAATGGGCCAATGACTTCATGAGAGCTCTCGGGGTGAGGAATTCGCCTGTTTCCGACCTGCCAGTAGAGATCGAACTGACGGATACGATACAGCAGGCAACAAAGTTCGTAGACGAGCACTTTTTGCTGTACATATGATACGTAAGTTCACTGTGTAGTAGTATGATAGTGTTTTAACACTATTTTACGCCCTTCGTCAAACTAATACGATGATATTTTAGAGCTGTGACATCATCGTGGCGATAATAATTCCAAGTCCATTGCTCAGTCTTTATCTCTGAAGAAGTAGCTTAGATATCTCTCAACTTATTTTTTTGCGATGCTCCTTCGCACCAGCCTAATGGCCAAACATTCCGACAGAGTGCAGAGCATCACCTGCCCATTTATAAATCAAACCTTGTAAACGTTTTCGGCTTCTGTTACCCAACTGTAAAAACCCCGCTAAGATTTCCCACACTCCGTTCTACGCCCACGGTGAGGGCTGCGTATGTAGCACTTCGTTCAACAAACGACGGAGCAGGAAGTGAGGGTGTTGTCGATACACGGAAGTAGGGTTCAGAGAATTAGAGTATCTATGAGCGATTTGGGGAGCTAAGTACCCTCAGGAAATGACTCGACAGGTAACAGCAAAAAAAAATGGGGTGCGGGGTGGAGGAGGGTGAAGGAGGCCTCCCTTTTAACGGAATTGCAGCGGTAGTAGCAGTACAATTCTAAATGAACCAACAAGCAGCAACACAGCTAAGTAACGAATGGCCAACAGAAACTACGTTCCTTGGCGGGCGATTTATTAAAAAGGATTTGAACCAATTGGTAATACATGCCATCACAGAGTCAATCACTTCTTCTAGTTACTCAGGAAAAGGAGCTGTTCAGGTTGTTAAGCTTATTCCATTTTTCTCTGTCCGTCTTATTCGTGGGGTTCCTTTCGTAGTTCCTCAAACTTCACCAAAAAAAAGCAGGAGATGGGAACCACGACAAACACTGAAACGAATAGAGGGCAGCCCTTGGATAGCTAATAATGATGGAACCCTGTTGATAATAGATTGGCTGGGCTAGAGATTACAACAGCGACAAGAAACACAACTAGCCAGGGGTAGGAAGAAGCGAGGGATTCTTAGGCGGCGTCGATACCCACTCGCCTAGCAGCCATAGTCTTGTTCAAGCCTTGAAGGGCCGAAGATCTACGCTTCCTTAAGCTGTTCTTGATTTTAATATGATGTGAGGGCCACCAAAGCCACTAACAGCCACCTGCAGCTGCTGTCAAAATTGCCGCTAGTTAACGATAGTTGCGTCACTATATCACGTACTAGTACGACGTAGATAGTGAACAGCTTAAAAATGCTATACAGCTATAGAACAGCTAAAAAACCGATGATGAGGACCGGTAATATCGCAGGATATCTCCTTGGGGAGACATCAGGAACGCAACGGTTGCGTCACATTAGGACGTGCTTTCTGAGCATTTGTCCAGTTTCGTCCTACTGCCATCCAAGATATATAAAAAACCCCTGGCAGCCTCGTTATTTAGGCTTTCCAGAATTCTTTTGTAGTCTATCCACCAGTGGTGCAGTAGCAAGTTCGGTTTGTTTCTTTTCCTCCTACACATTCTCGTCAATTGAATGACCAAATGATTCTTCCATCGAGTATCTGCCAGCATGAGGGTACTATAGATCACTATGCGAACAGAGTGACCATTTTTCTACATTCGCTGGCCATCGACCGCGTATAATAGTGGCTTACCCGCTGGTTAGCGATGAAGAAGGAAGTAATACTCTATCGAAGACTACTCCTGCCGGCAGTATGCGTTGACTTTGACACTTTAATTCTAGGCAGGATTCGTTTTACGCTTTGTATTTTTCTTCCGGAGACCTAAATAAATTTCAGCCCCTATTTATCTTTCTGTTGTAAAGGAAGCAACATATTGCTTCTTTCACAATAGAAGTATTGTTCAGTCGTAACATTCGTGAAAATATTAGACATTTACTATGGACAACTGACTTTGGCCGAAGCTTCCAGGCTGTAGATGACGTCGTAATAGCAAGACAGTTTTGTTATCATGTCCAATGTCGTTCGACTGGAACCAAGGACATGATTTGCAATTAACTCGCTGCGGGCTCCCAAAAAACAACATGCGAGGGCGAGGCGCCACGTCAAAGATGTAGGAGGGTATAAAATTATGAGTTCTGATTGCTTTCCTTGCGTAAAGTCGAATCATGATGCTACATTGAAACAGTGCTACTGCCTTGGCCTGGTTCTTAAAAACATTGTCCAACATTGTCATCCCGGATGTCTGAGTGCTGGAACTCTGCGCAGAAATCTCGTTGAAATACATCCTGTCCCGATGCGCTAACAACTTTTCGGCTGTTTGACTATTGTTTGTATAGCCTCAATGGGAGTCGTCCATCTTCAAATATGGTGTGGAGCAAGAGGCTTCCGCGCATCGAACGAGTTTACCTATTTACATAGTAAAGCCACTAACGAACGTATTAAACCATATAGTCCTGCGTGGCCAGCAGGAACAGAAGTCAAGCGAAAACAGCAGGATCGACTTCCGTGTTGATTACGCTGCAAAGCTAATGATATATGTAGGTCAAACCTACAAGGCTGTCGGGGCCTGCGCAACTGATAATGTGCGGTGTACCAATACTTAATTTGTACGGTTTCAAAAACATAAAACAGTTTCAGACATATATCTGTGTAAATGTAAATGACATCATAATGCTTAAGAGTGTTGACTAAGGTGAGAATGACGTTTGTCACCCTTGTCAGAATACTCATTGGTCTATCCTTGCCTAAATCGACTAGTACGTCTATTTTATTGCATTCGTGTAACACTAACAAAACTATATATACGTGAAAATGCGTGAAAACGTGCTATGTAACACGTTTTCACGCATTTCAATTGAAGGCTCATTGCATACGAGACACATCTGGGAGACTTCAGCTTACATTCAATACAACTGTGCGGTAAGAACAAAAGCACGAAAAAAACGAAGATATCTGAATCGAAGAAGACCGCGAGGGGGAGTGACTACGTAATGGGGTACTTACACTGAACAGCGTAGCTAGCGAGCAGTATAGCCGTTGGTTGTGGAACGACCAATCGCCCTTCGAGAATATCCTTCTTGATCTGTAAGAAGAAATGGTATCGGCTGGTTTCTTCCTGCAGTGCGCACGGGTCACTGACGTAGAATTTGACCCGAAAATAAAATAGGTACGGGGGATTGAGTTTGAACTGCTTCCGGATAGCTTTGCTGGGTTCTAACCACCGCATGCCGTCGGCTTCTTCCGTCCGCTCGGCGAATTGCAATCCAAAGTAATCGCGTTCGACGGGTGGAAAGCCGAGATACTCAAAGACGCGCTCGACGAGTACGCCTCCCTTGGCCCGTTTGGCCACCTCGAACGCCTGCTTACTATCGTCGAGCATCAGCACCACGCATTTGACACTTCCGCCGGCCCGCGCATCAGCTCGGCCAACTCCCCCAGCTGAGAAATTTTTCCGTAAGCTGAGTCCGCTTACTCCGGTGCAGATCTGGAAACGACGAGGCAGTAGAAGGAAATACGCAATAGAGAAATTTAAAAAACCTTCATACCATGTAATTACTGTCTACTAATAGCATTAACGGTGGCAACAGGATTGGCAATAGATTCAGTATGTGTATGGTAGGTCTTGAAAGAGCACACATAAGATGTTCGGATGGCCCTTAAAACTACGGTCTTAAATTTTGAAGAAATCATGTACATATATTATATACAAGCGCAGCAAAAGCTACTTTTAAAGGATCTCTAGGCTACGGTGATGTGCAGCGAATTTCGCAAACTCTACACTATTGCTTCGAGTCGTAGTTGTTTTACGTACGTTGTCTTAGGTGGACTAGCTTCAGATGAAATGCTACGCTTTCCGAAAGATATCTACTTAAATTCTCTTAGTGTAGAATATAAAATCACTAATTGATTTTTCTAGCAACCTCCCCACCATAAACTGCCGGCAATCACCGATGATATTATAAACATTAATGTTATTTCGGCCGACCTACAGAAACCTTGTCCCACAGAAAAAAACCTGTCTCCAGTTCGGTTACCAATACCATGTATGGCACTTATGGTTAAAATCTGCACATTTTTTACACATACACTATATATATATA